TGGGTGGCCGCCCTGGGGCTTTGTGAGTGGGTTAAATGAGCTTTCCTCCGTGTCACCACAAGGTCCCCGAAGCTCTTACAGCCACAGGGCTTTTTGGGTGGCTGGGAAGAGACCCCGGAGGCCCCACTCCCGGCAGTGCAGCCTGGGGAGTCCACAACCCTTCCTTCTTCTTCCAGAAAATCCCACGGCTGCCAGCAGCGAGAAAAAGGCCCACGGGGTCCCTGAGGTGCCGGAGCGGATGGGCTGCTCGACCTGCGGGCAGGCGTTTGGCAGCCGGGAGGAGCAGGTGAGCGGGGCCAAGCAGCCAGCGTGAGGTGGGAGGAGGGCTGGCATGGCTGCCTGGGTCCTGCTGTGGAGGCTCAGCCCCAGTGCGGTGCAGCCTAGTGCTGGCTGCTTCCCAGAGCTCCACTCTCCCCGTCCTATTGGGATCTGGAACTCAGACCCTGCATATTATTGCTTAAAATGCCGGTTACTGGTATGTGCAGCACAGGCCTGTGTCCGTGCAGGTTAACTGTTGCGTAGGTAACTCCTTAATGTACCACGGTCTTCCAGTTGGGATCACTCAGCCTCAGTTTAGCCCTTGGGGTCTGTCACCTCAGGGCCTTTGGTGGTCCATGGACTGCCAAGACTCTGCTGGCTCATACCTCTTCCCTCCACAGACTGAGCACTACCATCTTGACTGGCACCGCTTCAACCTGAAGCAGCGACTCCTGGGGCGCCGGGCGGTGCCAGTAGAAGTGTTTGAGGAGAAGACCCGTGCAGGTGGGGAATGGGGCTGCCCCCAGCAGAGCCCAGAGGCCGTCAGTGGTCTTGCTGGGGCTGTTCTGTCCAGGAATGAAGCCCCAGCCTACCTCTGCCAGCTCAGGGGCCCTTTATTGTGACCTTGATCTCCTGGGGGTCCAGCACTGCTCCTGAGCCCTGCTGACATGTTAAAGGGAGAAGGGAGTGTTCTACCTGAGCCATGCCTATGCATACCTGGGGATCTAGAGTGCCGAACGCCATCTCCCCAGCCCACAGCCCCCTTGTGATACATTGGGTATGGGACAGGACATTTTTGGCTTTATGGGCTGTCCCTTGGAGCCACCTCCAAAGCTTTGGGGAAGCTATTGGTTAATGTTTGCCCTGCTCCATTTTCTTTCTCTTGCAGGTGATGTTTCCAGCATCTCTGGGTCTGATTCGGAGAGCTCTGATGCAAGCAGTGACTCGGAGTTGCTGCCTTCTGCCAGAGGCAGCCCCGGGACACCCCCGATCCCCCGATCCCACAAGGTGCTGCTCCGGAATGCAAAGGGCCAGCTCATCTCCGCCTACCGCTGTGTGCTGTGCACCGGGAAGGCAAGTCACAGGCCGGCTTGTTGGGAGAGGGACCCCAGAGAAGGCAGGTGACACTGGGGTGTAGACATCTGCCTGACAGTCCCTCATGTCCCATGATGAGAACAGTGGTCTCTAGTGCCAGGTCAGAGCCTTGCTGGTGGCCTGGTTTTTGGCTCTAGGGTGCTGCCAGAAACCTGCTTCTGGTGCCAGCAGAAGGGCTGGTCCCTGTGCCAGGGGACAGCAAGAGGTGATGAGGTGACCCTGTGGGTGCTAGCAGAGGTGTCTGTGTCTCAGGGTGGCAGTGAGGAACCAGCGGAGCTGATGGCATCACTGCAGAGCCTTGGTGCGAGCACGTGCTGGGTCGTGCTGATGATGGGCGGCGGGCACTTCGCAGGAGCTGTGTTCCGGGGGTGAGTACAGGGGGACAGAGCTGGGGTTGCCCCTCTGAGGAAGGACATGTGGGGCTTGGCACTGGATGGCCATCCCCTCCCTACTCCTCCATCACAGTGCTTACCACGCCCTGGGCACCTGCAGCTCCTAGTCTTTGCTTGAGAGCTGGCTAAGCCCAGTTGTGCTGCAAGAGAATTATTAATCCCTAGGGCGCCAGGGGGGAGCCACAAGCCCTCTGGGGTCCCAGGAGCATTGGCTCGCCCCCTCTTCATGCGTGGGGCCCTGTTGCTCATGCTTGCCCCTCTCCACAGCCCCCAGGTGCAGGAGCACAAGACCTTCCACCGCTACACGGTGCGAGCCCGGCGGGGCACAGCCCAGGGTCTACGGGATGCCCAAACCCCGGGGTCAGCACCCAGGTCGGCAGGAGCCTCCCTGCGGCGTTACAACGAGGCTGCGCTGCTCAAGGTGGGGCTGGGCCCTGTTTTTCGGCAGGGAGACGTGGTCATGGCTGGCTCCGTGGGGTGGTACCATACTGCTGCTGGAGGGCGTGGGTGGGGTGTGAGCTCCGGAGGGGGCTCAGGGCCCGATTGAGGCTGCCCTGTCTTGGGTCTGTCCCTGCTCCAGACCTGCCTGTGCTCCCACGGTGTGCTCAGGACCCCATGGTGTCTCCTCTTCCTCCCCAGGATATTCAGGACCTGCTGGCAGCCTGGGCCCAGCACCTGAAGGAAGCTCAGCGCATCTTCCTCCGGGCCCCACGCCACAACCGTGCACTGCTCTTTGGCGGCAGGAACCCACCCCTCAGCCAGGGGGACCCTCGCATCTGCCACATCCCCCTCAGCACCCGCAGGGCCACCCTGCGAGAGGTGCTGCGAGTCCATGCCACGCTGGCCAGCCTGCAGGTGTACGGTGAGTCGGGCCAGCCCTGGCGCCCCTGTGGGACAGAGTGGGTGGGGGTAACGTGATCCCTTGTGTCGTCCCGTACGTGCTATGGGTTGAGGTGCCGGTTCTCCAGCACTCAGTTCCTGGAGACGTGGGGTGCTCCCTGTCCCCCGGCAATGACAGGAGCACACTTGCTGCCCAGGGAAGGACACGCCACTGGAGGACATCACTGGGTCCCCCCGGAAGGGCTGGCAGAAGAGGCGGCAGAAAGCAGAGGTGGATCCCCTGCAGGAGGACGCAAGTGGTGAGCTGAGCCATGGAGCAAGCAGTCTGCTGTTATGGTGCAGGATGAGATTTGCAGTCCTGTGACGGGGCCTGGCACTGCAGTGGGGATCTGCAGCGTGTGTCCTCATGCTGGGCAGGAGAAGTGTAGGGTGTGCTTGGCTGAGAGCCCAGAGTGATTCGTGCTGTGTGTGGGGCCTCAGCCCCTGTCTTATCACCCCCCTCAGCCCCAGAAGAGGAGGAGGAAGAGGAGGAGGAAAACCCTGCAGGGGAACTGGAGACTGTAGAAGTAACACTGGGCACCTTGGACCTCCGGGAGTTCGAAGTGATGCCCAAGCGAAACCGCAAAAGGAGGAAGAAGAAGGACAAGAAGGTGGAAAGAGGTGAGGGGGATGAACTGGCCAGGCACAGTGTAGGAAGGCATCGGGGAAGGGACTGCCATGGCTGGGGTGCAGGCTGGCCCTGGCCCTCTTCCTCACCGTGTGCTCCCTGTGCAGGGCCCTGTGCTGAAGAGACGGCATGCCGTGGGCAGCCCAGCCTGGAGCTGGTGACGGAGCTGCAGGGGGAGGCTGGGGCTGAGCCCCTGCCCTGGGGCGATGGAGGTAAGTGGGGTCGGGAGCTGGGCCAGCTGGATGCCTGCCCCATTAGCTGGTGGCTTTGCAGTGGGGTGAAGAGCACGTTGTCACCTAGGTGTCCAGAGCAGCTGGGGGTGGGATGGCTGTAGTGCAGCCACATGCCTTTGAGTGGCTGTGTGTTTGGAGCAGTAGCTCTAAACCAGGGGCAGGCAGCACCTGGCTAAGCCAGGTGTGTTGGGGGGGATTGGAGTGCACCTCATTTCAGGAGAGGGCTCAGCTGCTGCCAACAGCGCCCAGCAATGCCGTGGCAAGTTGTCACAGACTGAAGGTGCTGGAGATCCTGCAGTGCCCAAATCCAGCTAGCAGGACAATGCTTTAGCTGTGCTCTGTGTGTTTCCTAGTCGGACCAGAGCACCGTTCTGCCCAGGGAGCCATCAGCCTCCCCTCCTGTTCTTCCCTCGTAGGAGACCCTCAGACCCAGCTCCGCGATGCCCTGTTCACCGCCTGCAAAACAGGGGATGTGGGGGCGCTGCGGCACCTCCTGGGTGTGCCAGAGAGTGGGGACCTGCCGGGGGACAGCAAGGATGGGGAGGGCGCACAGCCCCTGGATATGCCCCGCTCCCTGCTCAACCAGCCCGTGGATGAGCGTGGCTGCACTCTGCTTCACGTGGCGGCGCGGGCAGGGAAGGCCGAGGCTGTGTGCCTGCTGCTGGAGGCGGGGGCGGACCCTGCCCTCAGGTATGGCCGCAGGGTTCCCAGCAGTTGACGATCACAGCTCCTGCTGTAGGAGCCCAGCAGCTCCCTCCTGTCTCAGCCACGGGAGACTGGTGCTAGGTTTCTCCTGGGGTTGGTCCCTCCCAGCCAGAACATCTGGGTTTGTTATGGGAGGCCCAAGAGCTGAACCATCGTTCTCTCTGCCTGCCCGGTCTGGCACAGCAGCACTGCCTCAAAGTGCTCCTGGGTTTATTGGTAGACAGTTCAGAGGGTAAGGGTGAGACCACGCTTTGCAGGGTATTTGAGATGCAAGGGGAGGATTTGGGGGATTCTGGTGTAGGGATAAGCAACTTTCCCCTCCTTGGCTGCGATACCCTGGCCTGTTGTACCCACTGGACATCCCTGCGAAGTTGCTGCGCTCGCAGCCCGGTGGGACGTAGGCAGTTAAGTGGCAGGGCAAGCTGCTCTTCCATGTCCTGCAGAGACAGGCAGGACAGGACCCCCTACTGCGTCTCTGCTGACAAACCAACCCGCAACGCCTTCCGCAAGTTCATGGTGGACCATCCGGACAAATACGACTACAGCCGTGCCAAGGTGGGTGCCTGCCCTTGCCTTTGGGGAGCTAGGGGACCCCAGAGCACAGAGCCCCTCGCTCACTTGTGCCGTTGCCCCTGGCTCAGTGGGAGATGCCGGCTGCCCTCTGCCCTCAGGTGCCGGGACCCCTGACGCAGGAGATGGAGGCCAAGAAGCTGGAGAAGAAGCGGGCCCAGAAGGCCCAGCGGAAGCAGCGGGAGCAGGCGCAGCGGGAGGAGCGGCAGCGCTGGGAGCAGGAGCAGGGCGAGAAGCAGCGGTTTGCAGCCCTGTCTGACAGGGAGAAGGTGAGGCCGTGCGTGGGGAAGAGGATTCGGCCTGGCTGGGGCAGTGCTGATGCGGTGGGCTCTGGGCACAGCAGCTCGCAGGGGCTGGTGGGGCTGAGATGTCTCTGCTCCCCAGAGGGCCCTGGCTGCTGAGCGGAGGCTGGCTGCGCAGCTGCAGGACACCGGCACAACTTTTGCCAACATCAGGTAACAGCCCCAGCAGCGCAGCTCCGCAGACACACTCTCCCACGTCAGCACAGCTGTTCCCTGCCCTTCTTGCTCCAGTTCTCATTTCCAGTCTAAAGCTATTTCTGTCCACTCGATTCCCAGTAGTGACTGTGTAAAAGCTTTCTCCCTCTCTTGCTCTACCCCCAAGAAGTATTTTGGAAAGGATGACTTGGTCCACTGGCAGCCAAACCCAGCCACTCCTGTGCCCCTGTCCCTGACCCCACCTGCCACGTTCCTTCCCTGTGCCACCCCAGAGGCTTGTGGGCAGCCAGCCCTGCCTGTGCTGATCTGGGCAGGGGCTTTACAAGTCTGTATGGGGCCAAATTCCCCCACGTTCGGCCTGCCTCAAAATGCCTCACACAAAATGCTCCCATGCAGCATTGCCTCCAGGGACTGTGTCCTGGCCAGGCTCCTGGGTGAGCACATCAGCCCTGTAGGACCAGGGGAGCTCTGGCTCCCCCATACTGCTGGTGTCTCGGGTCACAGCCCAGGCAGTGACTTGTCTCCTCCTCTAACCTCGTGAGTGTCCCCCTCGCTCAGGGCAACCTCTGCTCTTTGCTGCAGCCGCTGCTGGCTTTGTGGAGAGTCCCTGCTGGGCCGGAGCCCTTTCCATTACCTCGACTTCTCCTTCTGCTCCACGGCCTGCCTGCAAACCCACCGCCGGGCCCGGGCTGGCCACACGTAGGGCTGGGGCCTGCTGTCACCTGCCAAGGACCGATGTGGTGGAGACACAGCTGAGCACTGGCTGTGCAGTGAGGGAGAGCCTGTGGAGCAGCGCTGGTCGGAGGGACTGAGCTGGCCATCTCGCTCTCTGGGACAACTCTGTCAAGGCTCTGGGCATGAATGTCACTCTGGGTGGTGACTCTGAGGACATTACAGCTGGGAGGTCCTCATGTGCTCGTGTGAGGTGCCAGGACTGTTTCATGGCCTGGCTCCAGGCAGGCGTCCTGCTGCTGGCTTTTCTCATGGCTACCTCGTAGGCTGCTGCCTGTGGTGGTGGGACAGATCCTGACATACCTGGAGCCAGCAGCCCTGAGCTACCTGCACCTTGCCTGTGGGCACCCTCAGGGCTGTGCTTTGCCCTCTCCTCTCCTGGTCACCATCAGCATCTCAGCTGTATCGTGTTAGCAACTACCTCCTCTGCCTGCATTGTCAATAAAGAGGTGCCTTGACCCCCTAGGCGTAGGGTGCGTCAGTATGAGCACTGGAACTATTTGGGATTAATGTGCAAAACAAGCTCAAGTCTGAGCCCCTTTCTCCTTAGCACAGACCCTGCCTGGCCCCAGAGGGGGGCAGAAGCTCTGGATGTCCATGCCAGGATGTGTGCCCCTTTCCTAGGGCCCTGCAGCCCCTCCACTGGCTCGTGAGCTTCACCAGCCCCCTGCCATCTCCACAGCCCCAGTGAGAGGCGATGCTGGTGCCCAACAGCCCTGCGTTTATTCTGTGGACACGGTGCTGAGGCTGAGGGTCCTGTTGAAAAGGGGTCGGTCGAGAAAGAGCAGGAAGGGGGTGGTGGGTGCCCCCTCCAGCTCCAGCACTGTGATGTTGTTGGGGCGGCCAACATGCAGCACAGAGCCAGGCACAAAGAGGGTCTGCTGGGGCCCGCGGCGGGGCCAGTACCGGCCCAGGTTGAAGCCATTTATCCACAGCTGGCCCTGGAAGATGGAGATGGGACTGAGCTGTGCCCCTCTCCACCCTCACCCCTGCTCCCGGCTGTGCGCCACCTTACCTTGCTCCAACCGGGGAACTTCACGAAGGTGTCCCAGGTGATGCCAGGGGTCTCGAAGGTCCCGGTGTAGAAGGCTGGCCCTGCCCTGCCCCTGCTGTTTGATTTTGGTGGAGCAGCGTGGGGCCAGCCCTGCTGGATGGCAGTGTCTATGGCCAGGGGGTAGATCAGCCAGTTCCTGAGAGGGCTGGAGTCCAAGGAGAGGTTTGCCAGCAAGCCCTGAGATGGAGCAGGAGGGAAAATGAGGCAGCAGGGTCTGCCAGAGGCAGGAGGATGCTTGGCTTCCCCAGGGCACGTCCCACCCACAGCAGTGGAGGTGGGATGGGATCCCTCAGAGGGGCTGCACAGCCCTGGCCGCCACAGCAGTGTAACTGGGAAACGGGTGCCAATCCCACAGGCTCATCCTGGTCCCCATGGGTTTGCCAGAACCAGCGTAGGGGATGGTGGGAGACTGACCAGGGAGCAGGGCTGGGGGTGACCCTGCCGTGGCTGGGGTCTGTGGTGGGTGGCAGGAGAAGGGGGTGTTTGGCCATGTAGGAGCCCAGGCAATCCCCTCCTGAGCCCCAGGGCCCTTTCCCCTCACCTTGAAGTCACTGATGTTGGCCCCGAAGCTGATCCTGCCCATGTTCTCCAGGAGCACATCCAAGGTGTCGCCTGCGCTGCCTGTGACATGCAGCGCCGTCTGCCCGTCCCGCTCCAGGGTCCCCTG